GTCCTTGATAACTGCCTATCTATTTTCAGTAGCTATATAATGGTCTTTTCTAGAAGTTTCTCATAAAATCAAGAGCAAGAGTTCATATAGCTCTTGATCTTTTGTGTCTGGGTTCTTCCACTTAGAGTAATGTTCATCTGTGTTGGAGCATGTACCAGTACTTCATTTATTTTCATGGTCAGATAACAGTCTACTGTGGATATACCAGATCACTTGCACCCATTCATCAGATGCTAGACATGTGGTCAGTGTTAGCTTCGGCTAGTCTGCTATAAATATATGTCTCTCTATATATAATATTTCTATGAGCACAGTATATATGATTTGTTGAATATATGTCTGCCTAGGAGTAGAACTGCTGTGTTTAGCCTATGGAGAAGAATTACTAAACAGTTTTCAAAAGTGCATGTACTCACAGGGCAGTGGTGGCACGTGCCTTTTGTCCCAGCACTTGGGAGGCAGAGGAGGGTGAATCTCTCAGGCCAGCCTGGTCTACAGAGTGAGTTCCAGGACAAGACTGCCAGGCTACTCTGAGGAACTGGCTGCTTTGAGTTTTCATCAGTTTTCTCTCTCTCTCTCTCTCTCTCTCTCTCTCTTTCTTTCTTTCTTTCTTCCTTTCTCTCTCTCTCTCTCTCTCTCTCTCTCTCTCTCTCTCTCTCCACGGGTTCAAGGGAGCACCTTCTTCGGGAAAAGGTCTATATGCAAGTCACGTGCCTGTTTGTAAACTGAGTTGTTTGTCATGGTTGAGCTTAAGGAACTTTTCATATAGACGAACTCAAAATCCTCCAGATACACCCTCCCCAGTGCTGGGATTACTGGTGTACAACCCCATAGTCAACGAATTAACAGGTTTTCCCAATAACCCAGACCAAAGGTGGTGATGATTTGAAACAGAGTGGAGTTAGGCCAGATGTTGAAAACTGGCTACATCATGAGCTGCAGTCAACAAGATTTGAGGACATATTAAATACAGAATAAGAAAAGAAGAGTCAAAGATGACTTGCAGGGACTTTTATCTGAGCAAGGAGGGACTTTCTGGTTTCGTGGTGGAGTGACCACAGATGGAGCAGGTTGAGGTGACGACTGGGCAAGAGTTCATTCTGAGGCAAGTGAATTTGAATGTCTACCAAATCAAGAATATCGTTGAATGTACAAGTCTGGAGATTGAACAAAAAGGTCTGAGAATAGTTAGGGAGGTCCAGGAAGACAAAGACCCTTTTGAATGGTACTCAGTGTGGGCAGTGGCAGCGGCAACTGTCCATCCTCATGGGGAATGGGAACCTCCCTCTGAGAGTACACATCATGACCACCATAGAGAAGCTGCTATCTACTAAACATTGTATCGTCCATGTTTGTGAGCAGTGTCTTCCCTCCAATCATGTGACTGTCTCCAGATGGCGTCGAGTGCCTAACCACACTTAAATGACTTCCCTCTTCATCCTCTCCATCTTACCACGGCACCCATCCACTATGCCTTCCACGATCTTTATTTTTATTGGCTCAAAGGACATCATACCACTGTCTTGTTAACCAAAACTAGCATTTTGGACAATTCTCTGGTGCTCACCACAAGGACACAGAGTCTTTTCTTGATGTTTTGCATCCAAGTGAAGCTGTCACATGGACCAAGTATATTTACAAATAACGACATAAGCATGGGAATATTGTCCAAATAAGGCCCGAGTCTTGTCCTATGACAGGTGTACGCTAAACTTGTCACTTTAATTGGCTCAGCTGAGAAGCATGTTATACATGTCTTCTTACTATAGGCTATAGGAGGGGGGAAACCCTCCAGGTACTCCGTCCCTTACTAGCCTGCTTTCCTAACTTAGATTCTTTCATGGAGAGACTCTTGACCCAGGCTTAGCCTTGGTAAAGCTTCATCCTTTGTCATCCATGTTTTGTTTCATTCTGTTTTCGTTCTCAATAATGTCTGTCCTGTAAAACGGTAACTATTCTGTCTGGTCTGGTAATGTCTAGCTTACAAGCTATTCCAAATATAAAGACTGCTCTTTTGAGTCAGGGTGAGTGCCTCAACTTTCCTGAGACTTTGGCACCAGTCTTTTAAGGACCAGAAATTTAGCTCTGAACCTAGAACGGCTTTGACAATTATGAATTCAGTGAAATCATCTCGAATCTCAAATTTCTGTGTGAACTCTTTGGTACAGATCCCGGGAGAGCACAGCTTTGTCTTAGTTGATTTAACTGTCTGCCAGGCCCTCATAGGCAGGCCTTCCTTTTGCTGATTCTGTGGACTTCTGTGCTTTTCTATGTTTTTGTTCCTCTTTCAAAAATCTCTTTCCTACGGAAGCCTTCCAACCTGCTAATATCGCTTCTCCAAAACTCCCCACATTGTGGATGTTGTGTTTCATGTGGAGAGTCCACCAAGCGCATTGGTCACCAATAAGAGAGAATGACTTTATCCATTTTGTTTCTAATTCCCTTTCTGATGCTAACCACTTTTCCAGGCTTCAGAATTGCAAGGGGATATGAGTCTTTGGGGTACAGCCCAAGGATTCCCATGTTACTTGCCTATGATGGAAAGCTAACAGATAATGCATTTTGATTGATATAAAATGTCTATTTTGAAGTCATTCCCCAAATGTCCAAGACTTCAGATCATATATGTGTTTAATTTTACATTTTTATATAATTATAGATTTGCAAAAGTTGCAAAGAAACGTTCAGAAAGTTTCTGTACCCTCTCCACAGCCTTCCTTGATGTTTCTATCTTACAATTATTATCCAGTAACCCTAGAATTTATCCAGACACTATTTTATTGCATCCCTATGCTAATATATTTGTGTGTAGGTGTGTGTGTGTGAGTGAGAGAAATTCTGATGTAAATTTGCCATGCTGTACCCCTGTGTAACCATGACCCTAGTTAAGACCCTTACCATCACTAAGGCCCATGACTCTTAATAGCAGCATCCATCTTTCCATTCCAAACTCCTGGCAAATCACCAGCCTGTTACTAACTACAGACACTACTCTGCTTTTAGCTCTATAATCGCATTACTCCAGCATTGTTATGTAGACATCTCCCTTTTGTGGTAATGGAGAATTGCATGTTTGGTGAGTGTTTAACTAAGTTATAACTGCAAGTTTCTCTTTTTCACTTTGAGAAAAAGTCTCATAAATTGACCATTCTGGGCTTGAACTTGCTCTGTAGCTCATGAACACCTTTAACCTGTGATCCTCCTGCCTCAGCCTCCCAAGCGGTAACAATTACAGGAACAGACCCAGAAATACATATTCTTTTGATATTGGTTTGTTTGGGGGTGTGTTTATCTGTGTGGCGCTCCATGTGTGCATGCATATAAAGGCCAGAGGTTGACATTGGATGTCTCCTGAATCCCTCTCCATTTCATACAGTGAGGAAGGCAGGGTCTCTCATTGAACCCAGAGTTCACTGATTCAGCTAGCCAGCTAGTCAGCTTGCTCTGGGATCCTGTCTCTGTAATCACACAGATGGCTAAGCCATCACCCCTGCCTGGGATTGACTTTAATTTCCTTGAGATTCATTCAAATAATTGAGGGTATTAACAGTTCCTTTTCTTTATTGCTGAGTAGTATTCCACAGTGTGGATGTTACTGTTTTTTTTTAATACATGGTGATTTTTGTTATTATAAGGATTTTTATTGTTGCAGTGTTAAGGTTTGGATTCAGTGGACTTGTGTATGATAAGCAAGGCTATCGTTTGCTTGTTTTGTTAGTTTGAGAAGAGTCTCAAGTAGTCCAAACTGGTTTGGAATTAGCTGTGCAGATGGGGCTGGCCTTGAACTCCTGATTCTCCTGCTGCCAATGCCCCCAGCTGCTAGGGTTATAAGCAAGCACCATCAAGTCTAGCAAAGGCTACGGCTTTAACTTTCACACTCAGAAGTTCAGACGCATATGAATTCCTAGGCTAAACAGTTTTCATTTCTCTGAGATAAAGTCCTACGAGCGAAGCCACTTAGTTTTCAACTAGATACCAAGCTACTTCTCAGATTCAGCTTGATTTTTGGATTAAATTATTGAGACCCTGGAGTTTTTCCACTGTTTACTCTTCTTAACTAGGCAGGTGTCCTTCTACAGTCCAGTGAAGTCAGATAACCCTGATGAGCTCCGTCATCCGCACTTAGTAGCTGAGTGAACCTGAACATGTAGTAAGCTGTCTTTCCTTAGATCCACACACACAAAATCGAGATAAAAAACGTATGGGACAGAAATGATTTAAAAGAGCTACATGTGAAATACTGAGTTGTGACTTAATGCTAGCTCTGCCCCCAGACTGTGGCAAAACAATAATCAAACATTATCTTCAGTTTTTATGGTATTGGAAGCTGTAATTTTAAATTGTTTATGGTATTGGAAATTATAGCTGACTTTAAAAATCTAAACAAATGGGGCTGCAGAGATGGTGAAGTGGTTAAGAGCACTGAGTATTCTTCCAAAGGACAGTGTTCAATCCCCAGCACCCACATGGCAGCTCCCAACCACCTGTGACTCAGATCTAGGGGCTCTGACAGCCTCTTCTGGGCTCCTCGGGCATGTGATGTCATCTACACACACAGGCAAGCACTCATATACTTAAAAATAAACCTTCTTTAATCTAAAGAAATATATACTCTCAATTTATATTTTTTAACTAAATGGGTTATCTTTTTAATTTTTAAAATTATTTTAAAATTTATTTTGGATGTGCATGTGAGTCAGCATGCATGCTACAACACATGAGTGGGGGTCAGAAACCCTTGTAGGGGTTGGCTCTCTCCTTCCATGTGGGTTCCCGGGATCAAACTCAGGTTGTCAGGCTTGGCAGCAGGCACGTTTACCTGCTGAGCCACCTTGCTGGTCCTGAGGCTATCTTTATTAACCTGCTCATAAACATGTCCTGTGAAAGCTAGCTGCCCTTCCCTTCTCTCAGTGATAGTGTGGTAATGATCTCTGTGACTCTGGGAAGCGGAAACAAACTGGCATATCTCTCCACTGTGCTCTGCTTTCTCCTTCTTCCAGGTCAGTGAACAATTTTCTGATGACCGGCCCAAAGGTAAGAAGTCTTTGACGAACTCAGGTGTCTCTAGTTTTAAAAACTTGTTGGCTGAGGATAACACAGATGGTTTCATTACACCTACAACTTCCATCATGTTGTAGTGCACAGCGCAGACAGGAACTTACTTACCTGCAGCCTCAGCAAACTTCAGAGTTCAGATGAGAACTTGAGTGGATTGTTACTGAATGGATGGCTGGAAATCTCCAGAACCAGAAAAGGCACCGACTTTGACAGGTGCAGTGACCCCCTAATGTTCAGAAACTGCACTACATGGAAGTATTCCCGAAATACCAATCCTTACCTAGTAGTGGGGTAAAGAGACCAGAGATTTCAAGACCTGTGTGACTGGGGCTCATCTGAGAGAGATGGTTTAGTATGATGAGCAAAGACTGGTGGGAAGCAGGGCTTGATAGACATCAGATTCAACCCCTCCTTCGGCCTTCTGCCAACTGTGAGGCTCTGGGCAAAGCCCTTCTCTCCGAGCCTTGGCATCTTGACTTTGCAATGGTCCCTACCCACAAGGACATGGGTGCTATGAAATGAGTTAGCACCTATAGCCTGCTTTCTCAGCCCACGCTTTAGGAAACTGGGAGTGGAAGAGTGTCAGAGAGTTGCTCGGGACAAGGGTCTCCTGAGTTGAAGCTAAAGTTCCAGCCCATATTCCTGTAGGCTTACCTCGTCTACTCCAGCAGTGTGGCAGCTGGCGCCCAGAGTGGTATTGAAGAATGTAAATACCAGTTTGCTTGGGACCGCTGGAACTGCCCTGAGAGAGCTCTGCAGCTGTCCAGCCACGGTGGACTCCGCAGTGGTAAGGAAAGCCTTGGCCTCTGCTCCAGGAACCCCTGGTCATGGCTTGGGCCCCCTCCTCTTCTACATCCTTAATTTTTACCCAGTCTCTTGGCTCAGTACATCATACTCTTCTGCCATCTTCTCTTTTCCTTCTCTGCCCCATTTGTTTCCTACTCTCCTTTCTTTCCCTTCCTTCCTTCCCCCCCCTCTCTTTTTCTCTCTCTCTCTCTCGCTTTATCCCTCACTGTCTAATACCCTTTGCTTCATCTCCCGTCCTGTACTGCCCTAGGCTGCCCAGCTGGCCAAAGATTTCCTCACACTCTAAGCAATACCAAGATGTAGGGTAGGGTCATAAACCCTCACACTGTTTAGTCTGTCCTTTCAGCAGGCTTAGAGGTGTTGAGCCGGGAGAAATGTGGAGACCAGATTACCATAGAAGTGATAAGTAGTACTGAGAAGGCGGCCCATTGGAGGAGCTTTTCAAGACTGACACATGCTTTCTGGACTTTCCAGGAGGAAATGGGCTGGGTTCTTTGCCTTCAGAGTCATCTCTTCTTCCTCGGGTTCTTTCCGACCTAAATCCTTTATGAGCTAGCCAACCACTCACAAAATGTGTGACTTGGAAAGTGGGAGGGAGGGGATGGATCCTGAAAGGGGGCAGGCTACAGGATTCAGGAGAAATCCACAGAGCTGGGGAGGGTGCCTGTGATGGAGGCATTAATTAAGAGAAAGTAGCACATTAGCGTTTCTTTGGGCTGCAACCTCTTCTTCTCCCCAGCTAACCGGGAGACAGCGTTTGTACACGCCATCAGCTCTGCTGGAGTCATGTACACCCTGACGAGAAACTGCAGCCTTGGAGATTTTGACAACTGTGGCTGTGATGACTCCCGAAATGGACAACTGGGTGAGTAGAAACGTGGGAATGGGGAGCGCAGGCAGGAGGGGAAGTTCACTTACACAGCGAAAAGCATGGTGGGGACTTGGAGGAATACAACTGTATTCTAAACATGGGGAAAATTCTGCCAGAGCAGGGCGAGCCAGTTTCAGCCCCCACACACTGCAGTGGCAACTCTGCCTGAGCAGTTTAAGGCCAGCTCTCCCCCCAAATTTTCCTTAATTTAAACACGTAGGTAGACTCACAGGGGGACTTCCTTTCCTGTTGCCTTATCCTGTGCTCGTCCCTCATCCCACGACTTTCCATGGCCTTCCCCATCCTCTGTGCCCTTTCACTCCATTTCCGGCTCCCTATTATTACCTCTGTTTGGTTCCTCTTCCTCTCTCAAAGGTTGGACTCTTGTCCCTTCCCAGACTCCAACCGCCTACCCACCTGACACGTGCCCTCTCCTGCGGAGAAGCATGCAGGCAGAATCCATGTGCCAACTAGTTCTGTCAAGGAGGCCTGAGAGGGGATTGGCTCAGGTTGAAAGAGGACAGAAAAGGTGGCAAAAACGAATCAAGATCGAAACTAATCCAGAAACAGGACACTCTACTAACCTTAACCCTTTCCTATTCCAGAGTCTCCTCCACAGATCCCACCACCCCACCCCATTAGAAACAGGAGCCCCGGAAGTTGTAGACTTAATGGCTTTTCCTGCCCCTGCCTTTTCAGGAGGGCAAGGTTGGCTCTGGGGAGGCTGCAGTGACAACGTGGGCTTCGGAGAGGCAATTTCCAAGCAGTTTGTGGATGCCCTGGAGACAGGACAGGATGCCCGGGCAGCCATGAATCTGCACAACAATGAGGCTGGCCGCAAGGTAAGTCCGGCAGCCCTTTACTAGACAGCTGGCTCCATCCTTTGCCAGCTCCAACACCTCGGTTCTTTAACAGACTCTACCCAACCAGCTGGCTACTCCCTAGGTAGGCGCTTTGCAATTCCTCCGGGCTGGGACGGCTCACGCGCAGCTCTTTCCCCAGGCGGTCAAGGGCACCATGAAACGCACGTGCAAGTGCCACGGCGTGTCTGGCAGTTGCACCACGCAGACCTGCTGGTTGCAGCTGCCGGAGTTCCGGGAGGTAGGCGCGCACCTGAAGGAGAAGTATCACGCGGCGCTCAAGGTGGACCTGCTCCAGGGCGCGGGCAACAGCGCGGCGGGCCGTGGCGCCATCGCCGACACCTTCCGCTCCATCTCCACGCGCGAGCTGGTGCACCTAGAGGACTCCCCGGACTACTGCCTGGAGAACAAGACCCTGGGGCTGCAAGGCACCGAGGGCCGAGAGTGTCTGCGGCGCGGGCGTGCCCTGGGCCGCTGGGAGCGGCGCAGCTGTCGCCGGCTGTGCGGAGACTGCGGGCTGGCGGTGGAGGAGCGCCGCACCGAGACGGTGTCCAGCTGCAACTGCAAGTTTCACTGGTGCTGCGCGGTCCGCTGCGAGCAGTGCCGCCGGCGGGTCACCAAGTACTTCTGCAGCCGTGCCGAGAGGCCGCCGAGAGGCGCTGCGCACAAACCTGGGAAGAAACCCTAAGGGTCTCCTCCTGCTTCTTTCCCTGTTCGTCCCCGGAAATAGAGGGACCCAGATTGGGGACCTCGCACTCCCTAGCCCAGCGATCCTGACAGGCAGAGGCCGCGGTCTCCACTGAGTGCCACTTCTAAACTGTTCCTCGACTCCTCTGTATGGTCTTCGTAGTTCACTCTTAGGTCTCAAATTGTTCTAAAATTCTGCACAGTTCCTGAGAAAAGGACGAAAACAGGCGATTCTCCTCACCTCACCCTACCCTACCCTACCCCGGACCCGAGCTGTCTTAATGCTGGACCTAGTTTACCGGGCCGGGACAAGGAAAGAACCCTCTCAGACACGAAGAGTCCAGGTAAAGACAATGGCCCTTCTGCCCACCTCAGCTGCACCTCCCTCCCAGGAGCCAGAGCCTCTAGGGCCTACAGTCTAGACGTAGATCCCCTGAGGTTGACGCCTCAGGAATCTAACACTTTGTCTTCCCATTTCCCTACTTGCCTGGAAAAAAAAAAACAAACAAACAAAAATGCTGGGAACAAGAAAGCATCTGAATATGGGGACGAGGGAACCCCAGAGCTCCCGTCACTGATGGACTTCATCAGCTGAGCAGTGAGTGACCTTCCTAAACACCAAAGAAGCTCCAGGCACACCCAGAAGGTCTGGGTGGTAGAGGTCGGCAGTGGGCAGGTTGGCGAAACTGTCCTGGCCACAGCAGTCATCTGTGCCTTGTCTCCTTCTCCAAAGGAGCTGAGACACTGAGCCAAGACACCCTTTGGGTCTGTACCTGGAAAGGCAGGGCCTAGGGAGGAGGAGCCCTGCCCCATCACCTGGTTCTCAAACGGGCAGGATTCAGAACCTTGGATGCTTTCCTGGATAAGTAATCCCCCTGCTATGAAATTGTTGCTAATAGGATGTTCAGAACCCTTGACCTTTTAATTTATTTCAGTCTCTGATATGTGCCCCTTCCCCCAAATCCTGAACTCTCTGGGATGGTGAGGGGAAGGCAAAGTTGAAACTTAACTTCTAAGCTCTCTCTCCTTCCTCCCACTTTGGCAGGATACCATCTCCCTGGAGCCTCCCCTGATGGCCTAAGTAGTTAGCTTGATTTGACTGAGGTTAATCTGCCAGGGATTAGTAAATCACCCACGTAAACCTTCCACTAATGCATTCACTTGGAAGCCATGAGCTTGCTGCTTCTGGATCTGAGGTTCTTTTCTCGGAGAAGGGCAGTCTAGCAGGGGCTTTTTTATGAGATAGGGACTTGGCAACAGGAGAGGCAGTTCAGCCCAGACCTTCCCCATAGCTGCTCCCACCCTAGGCTAGTCTGGGTGTGGGCAGCCACAACATTTCTGGAGCAGAGCCAGCCACATTCTTTACTTCATCCCCTTCTCCAAAAGGAAGCACAGAGCTCGCAGCGCCAAAGCCCCCCCCCGGGGCTGCCCTGAAAAGTAGAGACTGCCTCTGGCACTGACCAAGTCAGACCGCTATGCAACTTCTGGTCCTATCAACACTTAATTGGGGGCATTTTTCTCTTTTTTAACAGGGCATCCACTTCTCTTGCAGCTCTATCAGTAAAAGGCCCTTTTTTTCTTCCTCAGTTTTTATCTGTGCCTTCTTAGTCTCCCAAGTTATCCTTTCTTTTCCCAAATCAAGCAACAGTATAGTTAATCCCACCGTCTCACCCAACGGTTACTCGTACAGAAGAAAGCTGGCAATGTGACTGAAAACTATAAAGACTCGGTGTTGGAAAGTGAACCTGCATTTCCCAGAGCGCTCAGCATGAAGTAGAAGCACTGTGCTTCAAAGTTCAGAACTTAAAAGTCAGACTCTAAACTCTAAACACTCATTTCTTTCATTGGTTGCTTTGTATTCGCAAGCGGGTATGACTGACATCCAGGACATTCAGTTCTATAAAGAAATACTGCTCCCCTTACACTCCACCTTCATGCACTGTTCATGCAGAGGACACTCGAGTGGAGACAGCTAAAAACACCAGCAGCATCCCTCAGTTCAAGGCTTCTTGGCTTCACTAAATCTCTGTGGCTCTGCAGACAACTCTAGACTGCTACTGGGAAGGCTAGGCAGCTCTGAAGTCAGCTAGTCAAATTTTCCTCTACACATTTGAACTGACGGTGAGAAGCCCAGCAGGCTTGTAAGTTAGTATGGGGTGGCACAGTACCCAGGCCCCTTCCCTCCTCTGTGCTCTCAAGGAGCCCATCTGTCTCGCTCTGAGGACAGGAGTAGAGGAGGCCTTGAGAGAACACTGCGTGGGGTGAGCAAAACACTGTCTCTTTCCTGCCCCTGGCCTGTGAACCTACACATAAGCGGGCTTTCTTTTCTTTAAAAGAATCCCAGCCTCACTTGGCCTTAGGAGCAGGTCAGTGCAAAGAGAGAAAGGGTCGTCCTTGGCAAGCTGGTAGCGCGGGTGGTGGTGGGAGGGGAGGGCAGGCCGGGGCACTCGCCTATTGTCGGTCTGGATTGGATGCTTCCAGTCATTCGTTTCCTTTTAATTAACCCACATTCCTGGAGGAGAAATATTTATGTTGGCTCCCATAGAGGCAATCCTCAGACTGGAAAGAAGAGGGAAGAAAGCCTGTCTTAGCAAAACAATATCTCTAAAGAGCTCAAGAAGAGAAAATAGGGGAACAAAATGCCATTAAAACAGCCTTCTACCCCCGCTGGAGTCAATGAAAACTTCATTTCACATGTTAATCCGCCACTCCGCCCCCTTCTCTCCTCACAACACCTTTTCCGAAAGTGTTTGGGAAAAGTCTCCGCAGTCAGTACACAGCTCCCTGCAGCTCAGACTTCTCCTTGTGTTGGTTCAGGGCCCCAAGTGGGGCTCTTGCCCCAGCAGCAGCCCCCACCCCTTTAATTTAAACAAAGACTTCAGAGTTCATCAACCTCCCACTGAAATTCACAGCTGCTGAACAAACTAATCCCCTCTCCCGGCCTTTCTTCCCTTCAATGGGCTCTTGGCTTCAAAGACACTTTGGGAAAGGACTTTGCTGGGGCTCACATTGCTTCATCAATAGAAGTTAGCACAAGTATTATCTGAAGAGCAAGTGGCTTTACAAACAAATACTGCCTAACAATCCCTCCCTCCCAAACACACACATCTAGCCTGCAGACGTGATGGGATCGACAACAGGATTAAGGCTGCTACCCCCTGGCTTCACACCCAGGCCCTTTGTGCAGCTGAGCTCAGCCCTGAAGTGGTGTGGGGGAAACCCTGCAGCTAACTGTCAGGCACAGATGGAGACAGACAGTCAGAAGAACAGACCGATAGACAGACAGACAGACAGACAGACACACACACACACACACACACACACACACACACACAGGGCAGTGTGCCTACAGACATTGTCAGGAAAGGCCTGCAGTACTAGTCCATGAGACTACAAGCTAAAAAAATTATTTTCTTGGGCTGGAGAGATGGCTGCTCTTCCACAGGACTTGGGTTCAATTCCCAGCACCCACTAGGTGACCTCTTCTGGTTTTTGTAGGCACCAAATACTAAACATAGTACACAGACATATATGCAAGTTAAACATTCATACACATAAATTTTTAAAAGTTCTTTTCCTCCACATTTTAGTTCTTATCTCTCCCCAGACCTCTCCCCTGCCTTCCCTAGTACAGGAAGCAAGACCTCTCCGTTTTAGAAAGGGAAACATCAGCAAAGGAGGACCTGGAGGAGACAAGGACTGGGAAAGGACTTTGGAAAGCAGATCCGTTTATTGTACTGTTCAAGAGGTCAGCATGAAGACGTGGCCAGAGAAAGCAGTTCGGAGACATAAGGCAGCGGAGGGGATGCCGGGCTGTGATTTCAGAACTGGGCTTAAAAATCAGACTGGATAATTTAAGGCCTTGGGCCAGGCTCAAGCCTAGGGTCAAGGGTCATTCTCTACAGCAGTGGTTCTCAACCTTCCTAATGCAGCACCATTAATGCAGCTCCTCAGTGTGATGCCTTCACCATAAAATTATTTTGCTGCTACTTCATAACTACTTTTGCTACTGTTATAAATTGTAATGTAAATATCTGTGTTTTCCCATGTTCTTAGGGATCCCTGTGAAAGAGTCACTCAATTCCCAAAGGGGTCGTGACCCACAGGTGAAAGCGGCTGCTCCACAGGGTTTTTCCTCACTGTCTCACTGCACCTCTTCCCCTCGCCACCCAACCCAGCCAGCTCTGAGGAATGCTAAGACATGGGAAGTTCCATTTTTTAAAGGGCCAGTTTCTTCTCTCGATTTTGCTCAACACCCACACCCAATCCTCATGTCCATGACTTGTTGAAAAAGTGAACATTAACCAGTTTTCTCCAGATCCCTGAGGCTGCAATAAATGTGAACCTTAAAATATAAAGACAGAGGCAGGGGGAAGTACAGCTAGAGAAAGAACCAAAAAAGAGCTATCAGATGAGTCACGGCAGAGACAGACTGAACTAATGACACGTTCCCCTCTCTGAAGCCATCCGAACAGAACATGCCCATGTGAGACCCTCTGGTGCAGGCCCTGCAGGACTGCCATTAGCAAAGTTAACACCTGACTCCACTCTACCTCCCAGGCTGAAAGGCCCAGAGAAAGCCCCAGGTGGGCAGGCAAAGGGTAAGAAACAGGCACTCAGCTGGTTGGAGCCAAGCCCTCAGCCTCACATACCTGGCAGCAAGGGAAGAGGACTGGGAGCTAAACACAGTCTGCTGAGAAACTCTCCCTTGCCGCCAGGAGCTCAAGAAGAGCAGAAATGGCCTCCTGGTAGGGAGGCTGCTGGCTCAGACCTGCAGCTTGTGTGCGATGGTGAGGACAGCCTTCAGGACAGGCATGAAGCTGGATACCTCGCTGAAGCTGCTGCAGCCCGCCACCTGCGCATGCATTGCCAGGCCCTGTTCAAAGTGGCCTGCATCCACACAACGGGCAACTTCATGGAGCCCAGCCAGGACGTGCGGTGAGAGCTGTGGAGGGATTGACCCTTAGATTAGATGAGTCCAGTCCAGCCCCGACCCTGACAGTTGGAAAGTATCAGAGGACTCAAGTCCCAGACCCACGTTCAGGAAGATGGCTCTGAGCCTCATGGAAGGGGCACTGGACCTCCTCTGGCTGTGGGTGGCAGTGGAGAGGCCCCAGGCAGAGGCAGTCAGTCAGGTACTTACTGTCCCCTCACAGAGTTTTTCATATAGACTTTCTAGACGTTGGGCTGCCTCCTCCAACTTCCTTTTTGTTTTCTGCAGGGAGAAAAAATGAACTCTGACCCTCCCCTAAGGCTTGCACCTGTATCGCACTATAAACACTCATCTCTGACCCTCCCCTGAGGCGCATACTGTACCGCACTATAAACACTCATCTCTGACCCTCCCCTGAGGCGCATACTGTACCGCACTATAAACACTCATCTCTGACCCTCCTCTAAGGCTCGCACTATAAACACTCGTCTCTGACCCTCCCCTGAGGCGCATACTGTACCGCACTGTAAACACCCAGGAGATACAACAGCTAGACGGCCGGCGCACAGTGCCATTTCCTTTATTTCACAGACGAAGCAGAGGCCCAAAGATGGCAAAAGACTTGCTCAGCTGACACAGCTAGTGAGTGAATGGCAGTCTTCTCTGCCAACTCCACCCATTTGCTAATACGCCATGCTATTGTAAATCCCCATGCTCTTTGGCCCTGCTATTGAGAAATGGGACTTAGGGCAGACTTGGAGCCCTCCCCTACTTCATTTGGACATCAAAGAAGTACAAGATACAATCCGTGTGTGGGGACAGTAAGGAAACTGACCTCCCTCTGTGGCACTGGGAGCCTTACTGAGCATGCGAGGAGGTGCAGTAGGAAGGTCAGACTCACCAGGTCCGTGGCAGACAGGGAACAGCGCTGAAGAAGCGCCTCAAAACTGTCCTTCAAGCACTGGTGTTCTGGGGGCATCTCCTTCCTTTCTGTCTTCCCAGGAGGCAGCTGCTGAGGCTGTTAATGAGGAAACCGTGGGGAAGAACTGGAGGCAAGTTGTCCTCTGTCCTCCCTAAGGCTTAGTCCCCTGTGACTGAAGGCCATGCTTCCCTTCAAGGCAGAGCTGAGAGCCACCTCTCGCCTTCTCTGCAGGAAGGACATCCTCAGGCTCAAAGGTTACTTCTACCTTGAACAAGGAATCCAGTTTCTAGGATCTCACTTTTCTTGCCCAAGTAGTGCTGGAAAGCATTTCAGCGGAGGGGACTCACCTGCAGGCTGCCTTCTCTAGGGGCTCCTGGAGGAGACCAGCTTACACTAGAGGCCTGTCGTGGCTGAGGGCCAAGGCTCCTGACTGGAGCTGTAATTGGTGCTGGAGGCACAACTGTCTCAGGCAACTAGCGAGATAAAGAGAAGCATATGAGGGAACCAGGAGATACTACAGCTCTGATTGAACAAGAGACAGCATGGTGAGTAGGGAACTGGGAAACAGAAAGATGTGTGTGGGAGGAGAAGAGGGAGCTGCTGAGAGGACAAACTCGGAGAAGAGTAAAAACAGGAAGGGTGGCCCTGAAATCCTAATGAACTAGAAAGTGGGTCACTGGGTAGGGAAAGATGCTGTGACCTTTTTCCTCTGGAGGTTTTCCCGGATGGCTGGAGCAACTTGCCAGGCATCCTGGGGTCCTAAAGAACAAAAATATGGGGGATCTTAGTGACATGGTTAAGGACCTTAGAAACGTTTATCTAAAAGCTGGAAAAGTTATTTCAGAGTTTGCCATACCTCCCTCTGTAAATCAGTCACACTCTAGAGGAAGAAAGACTCCCAAAGCAGGGGTAGGAACGGGAGGAGAGGATGCAATGACCCCCCCCCCCCCAAGAAGAAACTATGGAAAGACTGACCTGGACGAGGAAGCAAGATGCCAGTGCTCGGGAGGGTAGCGGAGCAGGAAGCCCCTGGCCCTCCAGGAGGATAAGCCATGGAGAACCTGACAGGACAGGCTGAGGGCAGGGAGCTCAGCGGGCTGGGACCTGGTGGTCCCATAGGAGGCGGAGGGAGAAGTCTAGCAGCCTCGGGCAGCAGGGGGGAGCCAGGCTGCATGGTGTCTGGGGATGCCATGTGCGGAAGGGGACAAGGAAGAGGCCACACTCCAGAGAATCCAGCAGGGTTTGCAGCTTGAACACTGGGTCCTCCTAATAGCTGTGGCTGTGATGAAGCTGAAGGAGGGTAGGAATGGATGGTTCATCATCAGACCAATTTCGGAAGAGACTCCCAGAATATCATGCAGGAACAGGCCAGCACCACAAAATAAAAGAGCAGGTGCGGTGGCTCAGCTGCAGTGACCCTGGGGCTGAGGCAAGGGCCTTTGAGACCAGTTTGAAACCAAGGAAGAATCCATCCCAAAATATGTTGTAAACCCACAACTGACAGTAACAAGGAACTGCTAGCACATGCAGAGAGAAATCTACAGTTCTCA